CGTGCTCCTCCACCCCCCTCCAATTCCCCTCCTCTCCCTCCCCCTCCCGCCCCTCCCACCCCTCCGCTTTTCTCTCGGTCTCTTCCTACCCCGACGCCGTTTCCTCCACCCGCGCGTGCCCGGCGCGCGTCCCCGTGGAGCGCGTCCCCGCCTCGCTGACCGTCATGCCGGGGAAGCACGTGACCCTCCGCTGCCCGCACGGCCGACCCGGCGCCAACGTCACGTGGTTCCGCCTGGCCTGCCCGCGCCCCGGCTGCTCCGTGACCCCCATCGAAGGGACGGAACGGGAGGGGACGGAGATGGCGGCGAACGGAACCGAACTGGTGCTGAACGGAACGGGGAGGAACTGGGCCGGGATTTTTTATTGCCGCGTTCGGGACGGGACGGCGGAGGGAGCGTCGTGTGGGACCTTCGTGCGCGTGCGCGGTGAGCGGGGGGCGGGGCACGGGGAGTCACGTGGGCGGCACGTGGGGGGGGGTGGCACGTGGGGGGGGTGGCACGTGGGGATGTTTGGGAGGGCCGTGGGCGGGCCGCTGTCGGCCATTGGCGGCCCGTTGGTGGCCATGGGTTGTGCTGGGCGGCCAGTTGGTGGCCGTTTCTGGCGCAGGGTGGCCCGTGGGTGGCCATTGGTGGCACTGGGAGGCCGTCGGTGGCCGTCGGTGACGCCGGCTGTGGTTGTGGTGCTGCCAGAGTCGGAGCCGGCGCCGTTCCTGGCGCTGTCGGAGGGGACGAAGAACCGCCTGATGGTGGCTGAGGGAGCCCTGCTGCTGCTGTGCGCCGCGGGGCCCGGGATGCTGCTGCTGCTCAGGGTGTCACCTCGTCCCCGTGTCCCCGTGTCACCCCATCCCCATGTCACTGTATCTCCGTGTCCCGGTGTCACCACATCCCCCAGTGTCACCCCTGTCCCCATGGTGTCACCCATCGCCACGTTCCCAATGTCACCCTGCCCCCTTGTCACCCCGTCCCCATGTCATTCCCGTCCTCGTGTCCCCATGTCACCCTGTCCCCATGCCCTGTTTTCACCCAGTGTGCCCTAATGTACTCTGCTGTCCCCAATGTCCCCACAGAAGCGCTGGGCCAACGAGCGGCTGCTGCAGGGCAAGAAGAGCCTGGGGGAGGAGGAGAACCTGTATGAGGTGACGTGGGACATGGGGACATCGGGGGACGTGGGGACATGCAGAGATGTGGGGACACCATGGGGCCATGCAGACACATCACGGGGACGTTATGGGGGGACACTGGGGGCATCCCTTGGTGGCCGTGGGGCTGTGGGGTGATCCTCAGTGGCCGTGGGACCCACTTGGTGGCCGTGGGACGCATCTGGTGGCCGTGGGGACGCGTTTGGGACCCCGTGGTGACAGCGGTGCGTCCGCAGGGGCTGGACCTGACGCAGTGCTCCATGTACGAGGACATCTCCCACCGCCCCCAGCCCACCTACCAGGACGTGGGGACGGCGGGGGGCGGCGGCGCGGGGCTGGAGAAGCCGTGAGGGCGGTGGCGGCACGGCGGGGGGACGTGGTGTGACGTCACGGGGCGGCGTGGCGGGGACATTATGGGATGTCGTGGGGAGGAAATAGGGGCATCGTGTGTGGGACATCGTGGGGACGTCGTGGGATGTCATGTGGCACCATGAGGATGTTATGGGGACACCATGGGGACATCTGTCACCTTTTCGGATCTGCCACCTTTGGGGGTTTGTCACCTCTTAGGATCTGTACCTTTTGGGGTTTGTCACCTTTTGGGGTTTGGTACCTTTAGGGTTTGTTTAGGATTTGTCACCTTTAGGATCTGTCGTCCAATAAAGAGTGCTGTGCTGATGTGGGGACACTTCTGTGGGGCTGGGGACAATCTATGGGGCTGGGATCACCAGTATGGGATTGAGGCCCCTGCTATGGGGTTGGGGATCCAGCTATGGGGTGCACTGGTTTATACTGGGCGATACTGGGCGGCGCTGCCCCTCCCCCAGCGCAGGTGCTGCTCTCAGTTCCCCTTTCCGACCCCCAGAGGGGAAACTGGGAGCACTGGGGGGGAACTGGGAGGAAATGGGGGGGCACTGCACGGAACTGGGTTATACTGGGAGGCACTGGGTTGTACTGGGGAGCGGGGGGGCTGGGGGGTACTGAGAGAGACAGGGAGGAAATGGGGAGCGCAAATTTTGGGGTAAAATCTCAACTTTTTGGGCCATATTTCCTGCTTTGAGAAAATGAACCAGACTCATTTTGGGTCAAATCCACGATTTTGGGGCAAAGTCCCCCAGTCGTTGGCAAAACCACCCATTTTTGGACAAACGCACCAAAATTTGGGGCAAAATCTCCACTTTGGGGGGATTTTTCCTCCACTTTGGGGAGAAAGCTCCAAGTTTGGAGACAAAAGCCTTAATTTTGGGGCAAAATTCCCCAATTTTGGGCAAAACTCTGAATTCTGGGGACAAAATGAGCCATTTTGGGCAACCTCCCCCATCTGGGACAACAGGGAGACGCTGGGGGCAAAGTGCACCGCTGGGGGGGGCAACATCCCCAATTTGGGGCAAAATGTCCAATTTTTGGTCACTATTCCCCAGTTTGGGGCAAAATCTCCCACGTTTGGGGCAAAACACAGGTTTTGGGGACAAATCCCCCAATTTGAGGCAAAATGTAATTTCTGAACGCTTCCCCAATTTGGGGCAAAAACTATGAATTCTGGGGCAAAATCCAGCAGTTTTGATGGTCCAATAAACCAACCTGGGTCAAAACCTCCCAAATTTGGAGCAAAATTCACCAATTTTGGGGTCGAGTCTCCCAATTTGGAGCAAAAGTGTCAATTTCTAGTCAGTATCCCCCAATCTGGGGGAAAACCTGCTCATTTTGGGACAGAAAAGGTGAATTTTGGGGCAAAATCCACCGATTTTGGGGACAAATACCCCGATTTGGGGCAAAATCTCCAATTTTAGGTCAATTGTCCCAAGTTGGGGCTAAATCCACACGGCTGTTTTTGGTCAATATTCCCCAATTTGGGGCAAAACTGCCATTTTTTGGACAACCTCCACACAGTTGGGTGCAAAATGCACCAAACTGGGGCCAAATCCCCTCATTTTGGGGCAAAATCTCTGACTTTGGGCAAAACCACCCCAATCTGGGGACAAAATCCACATTTTGGGGCCAAAAATTGCCTGATATGAGGCCAAAAGGCTCCAAATTGGGGCCCTGCAGAAATCAAGCTAATTACCCTTAGCATAATTAGCTCGTGGAGGGGGAAGAGCTTGGGGGCCACAGTAGTCCCCCCTGTGGGGGGTCTTAAAGGAGCTGCACCCCAATATTCAATGGGGTCCATGTGCCCCTCCACCCCCCAATTTTTGGGGTCCTCTGCTCAAATTAATTAATTTCCTGGAAACTGATTGGGGGGGGGGGTGGGAGGGACATTAAGCCCCGCCCCCTCTGCTCCCCCATAAATGAGCGATTTCACAGAAATCAACAAAAAATGACAGCGGGGGGGGGTCGGGGTTTTCCCCCCATGATGACGTCACTGCTGAGGGTCCCCTGTGATGACGTCACGGCTGAGGGTCCCCTGGTGATGACGTCACGGCTGAGGGTCCCCTGTGATGACGTCACTGCTGAGGGGTCCCCTGTGATGATGTCACGGAGGGGCGGCGCGCGGAGCGGCGGCGCTTCAGGAGGAGGCGGAGCTGCAGGATTTTGGGGTGAAAAAGGGGAGTTTGGGGTAAGATGGGCAGATTTTAGGGTGAAAAAGGGGGACTTGAGGGTAAAGCAGATTTGGGGTAAAGTAGTGGGATTTTGGGGCAAGATGGTGGGGTTTGGGGTAAAGCAGTGAGGTTTGGGGGTGAGAAAGGGGGATTTGGGGGCTGGAAATAGGGTTTGGGGTAAAACAGTTGGATTTTGCATAAAATGTGGGGCTTGGGGGTAAAATAGGGGGCTTTGGGGGTAAAACAGTGGGATTTGGGGGTACCATAGTGGGAGTTGGGGTTAAGATATGGGGTTTGGGGATCAGATACGGGGATATGGGTTCAGATGTGGGTTTTTTGGGTTCAGGTGTGGGATTTTGGGGTATGATGTGGAAATTTGGGGCTCAGATTTGGGGATTTGAGTTCAGATATGGGGTGTTTGGGTTCAGATACGAGGTTTTTGGGGTACAGTGTGGGGTTTTTGGGTTCAGCTATGGTATTTTGGGTTCAGCTATGGGTTTGGGGGTATGATGTGGGGATCTGGGGTTCAGATATGAGGTTTTGGGTTCAGCTGTGGGGTTTCTGGGCTCAGCTACGAGGCTTAGGTTCAGCTATGGGGTTTTGGGGTCCCGTACGGGCTGTGCCCCCACCTGCTCTCCGTGCCCCCCCCGCGGCAGCAGCGCCCGCGCCCGTTGGTGCTCCAGGTTGGGCAGCGCCGGATCGGCGCCCCAGCGCAGCAGCAGCCGCAACAGCGCCTCCTGCTGGCCGCCCCGCAGCGCTGCAGCCATGTGCAGGGCGGTGTGGCCGTGAGCCTGCGGGGGGAGACACAGCGACGTTGGGGGCGGTGGGGACACTGGGGGACACCGGGACCCACAGAGACCCATAGAGACCCACAGGGACCCACAGGGACCTCGCAGGGACACATAAAGACTCATGGAGACTCACTGCATGACCCATAGCGTGACCTGCAGAGACCCACAGGAACCTACAGGGACTTATGGGATCCCGAAGTCACCTCCCAGAGCCCCACTGAACCCTCCAAACCCCATAACTCCCCTACAGAGCCCCACAGCTGCCCCACAGCTCTCGTCCCACAACCCCCGCCCCATAGACACCCCATAGATGGTGACCCCAGGGTCCTCCCTGGTCCCCAGACCAACCTGCAGAGCCCCACAGCCCCCCTCCAAACCCCATAACTCCCCTACAGAGCCCCACAGCTGTCCCATAGCCTCCCACAGCTCTCATCCCACAACCTCTGCCCCATAGCCACCCCATAGCCGCCCCATACGCACCTGCATGTTGACCAGGCGGGCCCCCCCCCCGGGCTGGCGCAGGAGGAGCTGAGCCAGGCTGAGGTTCCCCCCCCGCACGGCGATGTGCAGCGGGGTCAGGCTGCTCTTGGAGTCCTGTGGGGTGGGGATTGCACTTATAGGGTGCCCCATAGCATCACATAGAGACAGAGAGCCATAGGGAGACCCACAGAGACCCAAAAGAACCCCATAGAGACCCACAGGCACCACAGAGACTCATAGGGACCGATAGAGACCCAAAGATCCCGTACAGACTCATAGAGACCCCACTGGAAGCCATAGGGAGACACAGAGACCCCATAGAGACCCACAGATCCCATAGAGACCCCCAGAGACCCCCAGTCCCCTGTGTCCCTCACCTGGCTGGCAGGGTCGGCCCCCATACTCAGTAGGATTTGGACGCAGCGCAGTCGGGTTTGGGGGGTGGGATTTTGGGGTCCCCCCCCCTGCAGCGCAGCAGTGTGGGCCAGGGCAGCGCAGTGCAGCGGGGTCTGACCTGTGGGGAGGGGGGAGGCAAAAAAGGGGTTTTCATCCCAAACCCGAGGGAACCCCCCTCAGGGGGACCCCCAAAGCATCCATACAGGCAACCCCCCCCAAAATGCCCTAAAAGATCCCCCAAGAGCCCCTCTCCCCCTCCCAAATGCCCTAAAAGGAGTCCCCAAAGTGGGGGAACTCCCTGCAGAATTTGGGGGGCATTCAGACCCCAAAATTGGGGATTTTCACCCCAAATCTCAGGGGAGCACCCAAAGCACTCCAGTATAGTTCACCCACCCCCTACGACCCCCCTCCAAAACTGGGGACTCAAAACCCCCAAACACGTGGACCCCCCCAAACCCAAACCACGACCCTTTGCCCAACCCAAAATAACCCCAAAATAAGGGCCCATCCCTAAAAAAGCCCCAAATCCCCAACCCAGCCCCCCTCCCCCAAATGAAACCCAAATCCCCAAACCACGACCCCCCCTCCCTAAATAGCCCTAAAATGAGGGCCCACCCCGGGGTGCCCCACAGATGCTGCCCTCCTCCCCATAGCCCCATTATTTGGGGAACCCCCCCCGGCCCCCCCACCTTCAAAGTTCCGTGCCTCCACATTCACAGGGACCCCCGACGTCATCACAGCCTGGGGGGG